GGAGGCCCAGGTGGGTAGACTGAGCCCAGCAGTTCAAGACCAGCCTGGGCAACATGGCGAAACCCATCTCTACAACGATCACAGAAATTACCTGGGCATGGTGGTGCATGCGTGATGCCCCAACTACTGGGAAGGGTGAGGTAGGAGGATCAATTGAGCCCAAGAGGTTAATGCTGTAGTGAGCCATGATTGAACCTCTGCGGTCCATTCTGGGTGACAGAGTGAGATCCTGTTTCAAAATAAAACAAATTACATAGCTTTTTTGTTTTGTTTTGTTTTTTTGAGATGGAGTCTCACTGTGTCACCCATGCTGGAGTGTTGTGGTGCGATCTTGGCTCACTGCAACTTCCACCTCCTTGGATTCAAGCAATTCTTCTGCTCTAGCCTCCCCAGTAGCTGGGATTACAGGTACACACCCCCACACCCAACTAATTTTTGCATTTTTAGTAGAGACAGGGTTTTACTATGTTGGCCAGGCTGGTCTTGAACTCCTGACCCCAGTTTGTCCACCTGCCTGGGCCTCCCAAAGTGCTGGGAGCCACCACAAATCACATAATGTCTGTATGCAGTGAGAAACCAAAAGATCTGTGTGATTTGCTTTATCGTGATATTTGCTCTGTCGAAGTTTGAAACCGAACTTGCGCTATCTTTACGTTTGTATTCCAGAACCATTTGTTGAAAAAGACTATTTCTGTTGAATATTTTTGTACCTTTTTCCATAACTTAATGCCTTTATCTGTGTCGATCTATTTCTGGATCATGTATTTTTTTATATCCTAGGTTCAATTTGCTAATATTTCTTTGAGGATTTTTTGTCTGTGCTCAGTTATTGGTCTGTAGTTTCTTTGTGCGGTCTGGTTGTCGTATCAGGTGATGCTGGCCTCATAGAATGAGTTGGGGTGTGCTCGCCCTCTTCACTTTTCTGAAAGATACTGTGTAGAATCAGCAGCATTTCTTCCTTAAGTGTTTGGTAAATTCCCTGGGGAAGGCCAGTGGACAGAAGATGGAGAACTGCCAGTGTAGAGAAGCCAGCTCTCTGAGGCTTCTAAAGGGGCTAAGGAAGGGAGGAAAGGGCTCCAGGAAATCGTAGCCTGAGGTCCAGAGGGTTCTGGTCCAGACCAGTGGCAGGGAGGCCCCGGGAGCTGCTTCCTGATGTGGGCTGTGGTCTCCGCAGGTGCTGTCCCTGGACACCAACATCACAAACCAGGTGAATAAGCTGAACCGAGACCTGCTTCGCCTGGTGGATGTCGGTGAATTCTCCGAGGAGGCCCAGTTCAGAGACCCCTGCCGCTCCTACGTGCTCCCTGAGGTCATCTGCCGCAGCTGTAACTTCTGCCGCGACCTGGACCTGTGTAAAGACTCTTCTTTCTCAGAGGTGCGGCTGAGCTTCCTCGGGCCCTTCACGGGTAGAACAGGACATCTGAGGGCAATTCGGTGTCTTGGGGCTCCTGCAGCCCCAGCTCTGTGGGTTACGCCTGCTGCCCTTCTGACTCACATGGATTGGCAACAGCACCTTCTCAGGCCTCCCCCCACCATGTTTGGAATGTTGTCCTAGGAAAGGCTCAAGTGCAGGTGGGAGGCCAGGTCTGAGCGCGGGCAGCTGCACGCAGGAGACGCCCTCACCAGGCACTTCTCACAGCCCCTTCCTCTCCTGAGATGCTGCCCACAGCACTGTGGTCTGGAGGCCAGCCAGTGACCTCTCCTGCTCTTGGTCTGCCTAGGACGGGGTGGTCCTGCCTCAGTGGCTCTGCCCCAACTGTCAGGCGGCTTACGACTCCTCTGCCATTGAGATGGCGCTGGTAGAAGTCCTGCAGAAGAAGCTGATGGCCTTCACCCTGCAGGACCTGGTAAGCAGTGCCTGCTGCCCGCTGTGTGCCCCAGAGTCTGCAGAGGGGTTTCCGTGTACTCCTGGGAGCCGAGTGTGCACAGGTCCTAAAGCATGCCCTGGTGTCCTCCAAGAGGCCTGCCTTGCAGACCAGTCTGCCCTGAGCCTGATGGACTGTTCTGTCCACACTGGTTGAGCATCTGCCTTGGGTCAAGAGTTGGCTTTGTGGGTGCTTTGTTCTAGTGGAAGGACACAAGACGCTCCTGAGTGTGAGGAGAAGTGAAGGAGGAAGAGGGAGATGCACAGCTCCGCGGGGCCACAGGAAGGTCTCGCCGAGGGGCATCCGAGCAGAGGCGGGGGGAACACGTCAAGCTGCAGTGGTCCAGGCCTGCAAGAGAGAGGGAGCGAGCAGGGCCTGGAGGGGGCCTCAGGGCTGGGTGTCTGGGTTGGGACGCCTACAACGAGGGTGGGTGTAGGGAAGGTGCTGGCAGGGTGGGATGTGGTTGTTCATTTTACTCATGAGGGCTGGTGTGTGCACAGTGGGGGCTGAAGTCTTACTGATGGGCCCACGAATGTGTCTCTCCTCTCAAGCCTGTGAAGAAGCATCAGGGGATCCGGCTGAGGTGGGAGGGCCAGCGCCCATCAGGCTGTTCCCTTTCAGGTCTGCCTGAAGTGCCGCGGGGTGAAGGAGACCCACATGCCTGTGTACTGCAGCTGCGCAGGAGACTTTGCCCTTACCATCCACACCAAGGTGGGCTCTCCCTCACTTGCCTCGGCTCAGCCCCGCCTCCTTGACCTCCTCTGTGGGTGGACTGGGGTCTCACTGCGTCTGTTTATTCCTGCAGGTCTTCATGGAACAGATCAGAATCTTCCAGAACATTGCCCAGCACTATGGCATGTCATACCTCCTGGAGACCCTGGAGTGGCTGCTGCAGAAGAACCCACAGCTGGGCCATTAGCGGCCCCGGGCCCCGGGTGCCTCTATGTCCGTGCCAGGCCTCTTGATGCAGAGGCTGCATCCCCATGCTTCCGGTTACCAGACCACTGACCACCCTGACTGTCCAAACTTGTGACCACAGGCCAGGGAATGGGGAGGGAACCAAAGGAAACAATTCTCAGGGAACTCAGCTGTCACAGGAGCGAGCAGGAGCAGGATGTGGCCCTGGCCTCGCCAGAGCGTCCGCAGAAGCAGGCCACGAGCAAGGCTGCCAGAGCCCTGGGTGCCGTTTCTTGTTGACTGAATGCGTTTCCAGGCTTCTGTTGCTTCCTGCACCATACCTGGTGGGGCGGGAGAGTTCTCTGGGTGCGCCAGTTCTTTTTCCTAGGAGGAAAAGCCCCCGGAGCCTTCTGGCTACCTGAGATTGGGCTCTGAGAGGAGGTAGGTTCCCACGGCCATGGTGGGGCCGGAGTCTCACCTGTTTGCATGAAGTGGGCTGTCCCCACAGCCTTTCAGGAGCAGGGTGTGGGCTGGTTTCCCGGGGAGTCTGGACCCTGACCCATGAGAATCTGGACTTTGGCTTCGTGCCTTGCTCATTTGGAGCCAGCTCTAGAGGGAACCCTCCATCAGCCCTAGGAAAACAAGACCTCCGTGCCTCACTTTCGGCCAGATACATCCCTTGTCCTTCACTTCTTGCACAGGACCAGCTGGAAGCAGAAAGGCCAGTTTCACAGGGCAGCAGACAAGTATGAAATGTAAACCAGAAACACAGATATCCCAGACAAGAGCCTCACAGGAGAGAGGGCCCCACGTGCTCCCCAGGAGGCTTGCATTGTTGGCCCAGAGCTGGCCTTTGTCTCTGCCAGCTACACTCCCCATTTTAACTTGTATTTCACACCGAAGTTTCTTAAGGTTGTCACTGTGTATCTGTGCAGGGCGCCCAGACTGAGGGGATGGGTACCGCTGGGCGCGTTTGGCCTTTGGATGCCGCTCAGGCTGCCTGCCTGGAGAAACCTGATGCCTGCTCAGATGGACGAGTGCTGAGGCCTCCAGAGTAGAGATCAAATCAAATTAGGGCGAGCAGGGGAGGAGGGAGGCCGGCTGACTGGGCTTCATTCCTGGAAGCGAAGTGGGAGAACACTCGGGGGAATGAGGATTGATGGGGCCAGAGGACAGCCACTCATCCCCCAGGAAGGCCACCCAGCAGGACCAGGGGGTGCTCGGCATGGCTGTGGGCACTGGCCAGCCTGGGTTCACTCAGGCCAGCTGGGAGCTGGGGGCATTTGAGCAGTGGTGGAGGGCTCAGAAATGAGAAGCTTTGGCCTTGGTTCCCAAGCTGCGGCCCAACTGGAAGAGCCAGTTTCTCCAAAACTGGAGCCGGACATCTGTGAGCCACACAGCACATGTAGGCCATGGGGTGACCTGAGGCTGGGAGGCCACGAGTGAAGGGAAATCGGGCCTGGCTGTCCAGCGTCCGGTGAGAAGACTGTTCTCACTACCTGAACACAGCAGTGGGGTGAGCACTCCAGAGTTGTGCTGAGACCTCCAAACTCGGGCTTTCAGATAAGGCCAGGCCTGTCTTGCCTGCTCTTCTCTGCTCTTTAACCCTGGGGAGTGGCATTGCTTTCCTGAGGCTGGGTTTTCCTTCAGAAGGCAAGATGGCACCTGGCACAGGCAACTTCGTGATGCTCAGTTCTGGGTTCCTCCCAAGGCCCCCCCCAGTCTAACCACTGCAGCATCCGAGGATGCAGTAACCAGATTACCCACAGGCCCTGATCCAGTTAGAGCCAGCGCCCAGGCTGGTGTCCGTCCACCTCCGCCTGGCCTGCCTTCCCATCTCGGATCTTGCCCCCACCCAGTAGGAATGAATGCTGATCTGAGCACCGCTGCAGTCAGCTTCCCTTTTCCTTGTGTGCCGCTGTCACTGCCTCCCTCCCGTTTTCTCTTCCTGAGTCATGCTATCCTCCCACATTTTGAGATGAGGCGGCTCTGGTTTGGAGTCTGTAGTGGCCTGCCAGGTGAAGGCAGGGACATGCCCTGGGTCCCAGTGCACTCCAAGCCTCGGCAGACCTGACTGGCCTGGCTGGCTGTGCAGACAGTGGGTTGTGGGGCAGGCAGACGTGCCCTGCACACCTCCCCGGCTGCTTAGTGGGGAGATGACCCAGACCAGGTCACTGCAGCCCAGCTCCCATATTCATGGGCTCATGATGCTTCTACCCAAGGAACGAGGCCAGAAGGTTGTGTTTGCAAGTTTATTAAACTCTTTTAAGAGTATGATGTGACTTCTAAGGGAAGAGTGGGCAGAATCCAAAGTTACAAATGCTGGTGGGGTGAGATGAGGGTTTCTATGGCCTGAGACCAGGAGCAGAGCCCCTCAGAGCTCAGCTGCCTTGGGTCCCAGGTGGCTGTGAGAGGTGGTGGGAAGTGAGCAGCACTCTAGGGACTAGCTGGGGAGGGATCAGGGCTGATGCACCCGGGGGGGGGGGGGCACAAGCCTGGGACTGGAGTGGGGTCCTGGCCCTTGCATGGGGATCCTGTGGTGTTCGGTTTCATGGAGATGTTCCGCTACCGAAGTGCCCTGGTCCACTGAGGGTCCCTAGCTGGGGACTGGCTGGCCCCACCAGGCTGGGTCTGCAGTGCACTGTGTCAGGAAGGTGCTCAGAGTTGGGCCAAACCTTTGGGGTCTGTGGGCATGGAGTCTTGTGGGGCAGGCTCGGAGACGGGAGTGTCCACCATCTGCTTGGATGGGGCAGAGATGGGGCAAGGCCGTGGGGGCGGGATGGCCAGGCCACACTCTGCCCCTTGCTGGCCCTCCTGACCTGATGGAGAGCTGGGGGGCTGATCCTCGGAGCAGTGGGCAGGCTGGGGAGGGGCCTGGCCCAAAACGCAGGCAAGGGTCAGAGGCCAGCTACCTGAGGGGCGGCTTGGTGCACACACCTTGTCAAATTTCTTATGGCTGTAGACCTTGTTTTTGTTCATGAATGTTAGCAAGATCCAGTCACACAGGAAGGAGCCCTGGGGCCAGCAGAGCAGAGACCAGGGTGTAAAGACCTGGTGGACCCCCCTGCACCCACTGGGACCCCAGAGTGGGTTCCTTACCACCCCGATGGAAGTCAGAGCTGTGGCCAGATTAATGATGGTGGGAATCAGGCTGAACTTCCCAGCCTAGAGAGAATGAGGGTGGTCAGAATGTCTGACAACCACTGATGGGGCTGGAGGGAGGGGTGGGGCGTGAGTAGCAGGGCTGGGCAGTCACCTGTCCGTGCACGATGACGTCAATGCGGATCCCGTAGGCCTTGATGAGCGTGCGGGTGGTGGTGCCATTGATCTTGTAGTACTTGGCAAACCTGGAACGGGAAGGCCGGGGAGCCCATGTCCAGGCTGCCTGGTCCTGTGTGGCACCAGCCAGAGCCCACTTATCCTCCACACTCCAGGGCTGCCCCTCGGGTGCTGAGCCTCTCAGGACCCCACCGTGGCTATGACTCGGGGGACAGCAGTGTCCCGAGGACAGTACCTGAAGTTGTAGCCTGACGAGGCAGGCACGTGCTTGGGGTCCAGCCTCCGGAAGGAGTACCTGGGGTTGCACTCCGAGGCGGGCAGGTCCAGGTCACAGTCCCAGTTGATAATGACCCCGATGACACCACCCTACCAAGAAGGAGCCAGGGAAGGGGGTCAGGAAGGCACACAAGAGGCCCCTTGAGCCGGGATCAGTCCAGGCTGCATGTGAGGCGTGCACTGAGGGGCCCACAGGGCAGCTTGGGGGTGCTGCTGGGTGTCCAGTGTCTGAGCTATAAGGGGTGCCAGTGGCCAGCCCTGTGGCCAGTGTCAATAATTCAGCAAGTGCCACACGGGACGGGTTGTGCTGATAGTGTTTCTTTCCTCTGCCTGGGCAGAGCCAGCTGGTCAGGAGAGAGAAGGGACTGTTCCCCCTGTACCTCAGGCCCTCCCTGCACAGGTGGGAGCCCGCCCTGGCCCCACCCCGCCTGCGCTTGCCCTGCCTTGTGTGCTAGCTCTGCGAAGCTCTCCCCAGCCTGCTCCACGATGAAGCCCAGCTTGAAGATGGGGCAGTAGAGGTCGGAGGCCTCGTGGAACGTGCAGCGCTTCAGGTACCCATCTGTGCGGTCGGCGATGTTGCCCCTGTGGAGGCAGCAGGAGGCAAGGCCTGCACCCCAAGTGCTCCATTCCCAGGAGGCAGCCCCCATGCTGGGCCATCACCACGCCCTGCGGCTCTTACTTGGAGAAGTGGAATTTGGGGTAGTGGATGCTGTTCTTGATGAGAATGGTGAAATTTGGGGCCATCGTACCCAGAAATTGGCTGAGAAGGCACAGACGGGCTGTTTAGTCCCCTCCTCCCCCAAGGCTGCCACCTGGCATTGGCCCCCCCCTCCCCAGCTCCTGTCACTCCTGCCCCGCCCATCTGGCCTCTGGTCAGAGGAAAAGGATCAGAGTGGAGGCTGGGCTGCAGGTGCACCTGACAGAGGCTCCATCTTCCACCGGGCACCAGCCGAACACCTCGCAGGTCTTGGAGGGCCCCTGGTAATAGGGCACACAGCGCCCGGTCCGCAGGCCTGTGGGGCAGAGGTCACTGAAGCTTCGTGGGGGCAAAGCCCTGCCCCACCTGCCCAGCCCAGCCCAGCGCAGCCGCAGCCGGCGCACACTGACCGTTTCCCAGCATGTCCAGCTCCCCAGCCACGCAGTCGGCGTCCGAGTGGCAGGTGGCATTGTGGACTCTTATGCTCTAGGGTGGAGGCGGCCCAGTCAGGGACTCTGCAAGGGTCAGCTAGCCCCACTAGCTGAGGCAGGGTCTTCCAGCGCCAAGGGCCCACCTCACCTCAGGGCAGGTTCCCTGGGTCTGGAATTGGGTGGCCTCGATCCTGGTGATGATGCTGAACACGCTGCCTCCCTGGGCTCAGAAAGAGGGGGGCGGTTGGCCAGGCGGCAGCTGATGGCCCTTGGCCCACTGGGGTGGGGTGCACGGCAGTGCGGGGGGCAAGGGGGCGGCCCGTACCTCGGGGGGCTTCACGTATTCCTCCACGTCCCACACTTTGCGCTCGGATGTGGTGATCCCCTTGACCTTGGTAATGATGGAGCTCTCAGGGCCCGTCTCGCTCTCCTGGTAGCTTTTCTGCACGATGAATACGTACCTGCGGGCAGGGGCGGCGCCGGCTCCGGAGGCGACCCCAGGAAGGCTGAGCCCGCCCGCCGGCACCGGGCCTCCCACGACCCGGGTCCGCTTGCGGGGCTATAGGGGCCTGCCCCGCGCCCCCAGTCACAGCCCCGACCCCAGCCCCTGCCCCGCGCCCCCAGTCACACCCCCGACCCCAGCCCCTGCCCCGCGCCCCCAGTCCCAGCCCGGATCCCAGCCCCTGCCCCGCGCCCCCAGTCCCAGCCCCGACCCCAGCCCCTGCCCCGCGCCCCCAGTCCCAGCCCGGATCCCAGCCCCTGCCCCGCGCCCCCAGTCCCAGCCCCGACCCCAGCCCCGACCCCAGCCCCTGCCCCGCGCCCCGAGTCCCAGCCCCGACCCCAGCCCCTGCCCCGCGCCCCCAGTCCCAGCCCGGATCCCAGCCCCTGCCCCGCGCCCCCAGTCCCAGCCCCGACCCCAGCCCCTGCCCCGTGCCCCGCGCCCCCAGTCCCAGCCCCGACCCCAGCCCCTGCCCCGCGCCCCGCGCCCCCAGTCCCAGCCCCGACCCCAGCCCCTGCCCCGCGCCCCGCGCCCCCAGTCCCAGCCCGGATCCCAGCCCCTGCCCCGCGCCCCGCTCCCCCAGTCCCAGCCCGGATCCCAGCCCCTGCCCCGCGCCCCCAGTCCCAGCCCGGACCCCAGCCCCTGCCCCGCGCCCCCAGTCCCAGCCCGGACCCCAGCCCCTGCCCCGCGCCCCCAGTCCCAGCCCCGACCCCAGCCCCTGCCCCGCGCCCCCAGTCCCAGCCCCGACCCCAGCCCCTGCCCCGCGCCCCCAGTCCCAGCCCCGACCCCAGCCCCTGCCCCGCGCCCCCAGTCCCAGCCCCGACCCCAGCCCCTGCCCCGCGCCCCCAGTCCCAGCCCCGACCCCAGCCCCTGCCCCGCGCCCCGCGCCCCGCGCGCACCACACGAAGTAGAGCAGGATGAGCAGCTGCACGGCGCGGTACAGGACGCCCAGGCGCCGGTTCCTCACCACGATCACCTTGGGCGTCTCGTAGTCCCAGAGGGCGGACCAGCAGCCCCGGGCCAGGCGCCGGGCGGTCGCCCCCCGCGGGGGGCTTGGGCTGGGTGGCGGCCATGGCGCGGGCGGCCCCCACCTCCGGGAAGCCAAGGCTGGGCTGAGGGTCGGTCCCGCCGCTCACCGAGGGCGGGGGGCGCGGGGCGGGCGGGGAGCTGTGGCTCCGCCTCCAGGGCGCGGCCTCGTGCCTGCCCCGCCCCCCGCTCCTGCCCGGGCGCCCCGTCCCGCCCCGCAGGTGTCCCGGGGGTCCCGCGTGGGGCTCGGAGCCGGGGCTCCTGCCTCGCAGGGGCACAGCCGGGGGCACCGCAGCTCAGCCCCAGCCCGCGGTCCAGGTGGGGGCCGAGCGCGGAACCCGCGGCCTCGACGTTGGAGGATTGGGGATTCCCCGGGTGGGATCGAAGAATACGTGGAAAGTCCTGCCGGTCCCCGCGTCGCCCCCGCTCCGGTCCACGCCGGTTCCTGCCGCGGCTGCCGGGGCTTGGACAGGAACCTGCGCTCCCATCTTTGCCCGCAGATCCCCGGCTTCCAGCTCCTGCCTCTGCCGTGGCCCCAGCCCTGAGCTGCAGAGGAATCCATGGCCCGCCCGTTTTTTCCTTTGCAAGACAGAGTTTTCTAACTTTTCATGTCTCCACTCGACCCACATTATTTAGAAGCAAATCCCAAACATCACAGTATTTCACAAAATAATCTTTATGGTGGTAAAATCATCGTCGGATGTAATTAACTATTTATTAACAGTTTAGTGACATTCACAAAATTGTGCAACCACCACCTCCATTAGTCCCCAAATATTTTCCCCACCCCAAAATAAAGCCCCCATCCATTAAGCAATCACGACCCCTTCCACACCTTGTACTACATGAGCTTTCGTGTCTGGCTTCATTCACTCGGCATGTTTTCAAGGTTCACCCACACGGTAGCATGTGTCAGTGTGTCACTCCTTGTTTTGGCCAAGTGAAACGTAAGGCTGTACAAGGACATTTAGGTTGCTTTCCAAATAACTTATAAACACTGTGCTGCTATAAACATTGGTGTTAAGTATTTGTTTGAGCTGTTAAATTAACTCAAACTTGGCCTTGAGGCTGCCCCTGTACCTTGAGTTTTTAGGTAACAGCAAACTGTGACCTAATGTACCTCATAAACAAACTAAAAGCCTAACTTAGAAGTATATTTTGGAACAAATGGCAAGGTCTCAGCCAATGACAGGCTGCCAGCTGATCTGACCATGTCTATAGAAGGCAAACACCTCAAGCTGTAACAAAATCCAGCTGATTGTGGTTTTTTTTTTAGTATCTCACTTCTGTGTTCTAACTCTGAGAACTCCCTGCCCACATTACAGAGTGGAGCTCTCAAACCTCCCCCATTGGTTCTGAGTGCTGCCCGATTCATGAGTTATCTTTTGCTCGATTAAACTCTGTTGGCTACGTACAGTGGCTCATGCCTGTAATCCCAGCACTTTGGGAAGCCAAGGTGGGTGAATCACTTGAGGTCAGGGGTTCAAGACCAGCCTGGCCAACATGGTGAAACCTCATCTCCAGTAAAAACACAAAAATTAGGCGTCACGGTACCTGTAATCCCAGCTACTCAGGAGGCTGAGGCAAGACAATCATTTGAATCCAGGAGGCAGAGGTTGCAGTGAGCCAAGATTGAGCCACTGTGCTCCCGCCTGGGTGACACACTGAGACTCCATCTAAAAATAAAAACAACTCTGTTTAGTTTGTCCAAAGTTTTAGTTTTGACAGCTTGGCCTCAGAAGTGGGATCTGATGTAGACCTCCAGCCACCTGCTAGGAACGCTGAATGGCTGCGAGGGCCCAAATGCTGACTGATCTCTCAAAGCAACCAGAGTCATGGGTGGGTTCTCGCTGCTGGATTTATGCTCTGAGCCCTCTAAATTTGAGCAATTCTTAGACTGGAATGGGTCCAGGACTGAATTGGATCCAAAAATTAACTGCATTGAATCCAGTTAGAGGCCTCCCGGAGGTCCCTTTTGGTAATGGGTTTGTCTGAAGCAAGGAGTCTGGGAGCCACCTTCTGGGACTCCTGCTAATTTTGTGTATAAGAACGATGGACCCAGAACTTGTGCATTTTTTAGAAAAATAGGTGAACCCCAAATTCAAAAAGACCCCTCCAGATTCTTGGAACCACACGCCTTTTGGAGACATTAAGGTACAGCTGACCAGGGAAGTTTTCCCCAGAGGCAGATGGCATCCTAAATGCTGACAGCTTTTCCAAGATCGTGGATCGACTTCTGTGCCATCGTGAAAGCCTTCGCCTCCCCCTACCCCTATTTCCTGCTGCCGGAATCTTTTCCTCTTCCTTCAAGAAATCCACAGGACCGTCACGTGTGGATGGCTTTTGCTAAGGGTTATGCTCTCGGACAAATCCAGAATGTGGTTGGGTTTGTGTGCTAATGCCAAAAAAAAAAACCAGGAAACACTGCCAGTGCCTGTTGTTTTTCCAGTGACAGTCACCCTGGAACTCCCGAGGCAGGGTGGGGAGAGCTCTCCGTCATGCTCTAGACACTCCTGCTCTCGCTTTCCCAGGTAATCCACACGCTACTCGGGCCTGCAGAAGGTATACGAGGCTTCCAGGCATCACGTACTCAAGGCCTGGGGATTCTCGTTGTGGGTGTGAGACGGTGCGTGTGTGATGTCACTGGATTACGTCCAGCGAGGTCCCTCTCCGTTAAATGTGGTTACACACCCTTGCAGCATGCCGTAAAGAGACTTCATCCCGTAAGTTTCCCGTGGGACCTGGTCCAGGAGCTGTTTGGGCACGTGGGTGAGAACGTGTCGCAGACTTCCGCTCCAGTGCCACCAGGTGGCCCTCTCTTCCAGCTCCAAGAGCCTCTGCCAGGTCCTCGGAGAGTCTGCTTTCTGGGTTCTGCCTGCTCGCTGGTTTGGATCTTGCGATGTGGTCTGGCTCCTCCTGCCTTCCAAACAGCTTCCCCTGCAGGTCCCACCCAGGATACCTCCCACAGTCAGAGGCCAGAACAGTCAGCAACAAAAATTAGCACCGGCCTTGAAATAAATGAAGATGAGTTAGTTTTCACTGAAGAAAGTGTCCAGTCGGATTCTTGAGGCCTCACGCGTGGTGTTAGTGAGGGGCTGGGTGTATGGAATTCAAAACAAATTCATAAGTTGGGGAAAATCCTGGGCTTTGTGGCCAACCCGACCTCCCAGGGTTTTTGCCCCCATAGAACTCCACGAGTTCACTCCTCGTGATTTAGACAGGTGGGAGTCACTCTCTGAAAGGTGGATGAGAATATTTGTGTTCAACAAAAACTAGAGCATCGCACGGCTTTCAAGCTCCTCTTTGGCCCGTGCTGGGGGCTGTGATGGTACTGAACAAAAGCGAATGTCGTCCCTGTCTTTCCTCTGATTTTACTACGACTGAAAGCTTCTGAGACAGTCCCGGCTCTGTCACCCAGGCTGGAGTGCAGTGGTGCGATCCCGACTCACTGCGGCGTCTGCCTCCTGGGTTCAAGCGATCCTCCCTCCTCAGCCTCCTGAGTAGCTGGGATTTCAGGCACCTGCCACCACGCCTGACTACTTTTTTGTATTTAGTAGAGATGGGGTTTCATCATGTTGGCCAGGCTGATCTCGAATTCCTGACCCCAGCTGATTCGCCTGCCTCAGCCTCCCAAAGTGCTGGCATTACAGGCGTGAGCTACCAAGCCCGGCCCCTTGGCCCATTTTTAAATTGCATTGTTTGTTTTTCTGTTGTTGAATTGTAAGAATTAATATTTTGGGATACTAGACCTGCCTATCAGATACATGATTTGAAAATTTTCTCCCACTCAGTAGATTGTCTTTTCACTTTCTCGATAATGTCCTCTGATGTGTAAGTGTTTAATGTTAATGAAATCTAATTTGTCTGTTTTTTCCTTTGTTGAGAGAAACTGCAGAAGAAGTAAGCTCATCTCTCTATGCAGAAGGTATGATATTGTACATGCAAAACCCTAAGGAAGACACTGCAAGCTGTTGAGCTATTAGGTCAGTTATATTTTCTTTCTGTCCCTTTGTTCTCTCTCTCTCTCTCTCTTCCCCTTTCTCTTTTTCTTTCTTTTTCAAGACAGGGTCTCATTCCATTGTTGCAATGGTACCATCTTGGCTCACTGCAACCTCCGCTTCCTGGATTCAAGCTATCCTCCCACCTCAGCCTCCTGAGTGGCCGGGACTACAGGCACCACCACACCCAGCTACTTTCTCATTTTTGTATGTTCCGTAGAGACAGCGCTTGCCATGTCTTGAACGCCTGGACTCAAGCAATCCACCCTCCCTGGTCTCCCAAAGTGTTGGAATGACAGGTGTGAACCACCAGGCCTGGCCAAGTTCAATTATTTTAGATTCTTCCTGCAAATGGAATCATGTAGCATTTGTGTTTCTGTGCCTGGCTTGTCCCACGGCATACTGCCCTCAGGGGTCACGCACGGTGCTGCATATGGCAGCATTCTCTTCCTCTTTTATTTATTTTTTTATTTGAGACAAAGTCTCACTCTGTCTCCCATGCTGGAGTGCAGTGGCGCCATCTTGGCTCACTGCAAATTGCACCTCCCGGGTTCAAGAGATTCTCCTGCCTCAGCTTCCCAAGTAGCTGGGATTGAAGGCACATGCCACCACACCCGGCTAATTTTTGTATTTTTTAGTAGAGACGGGGTTTCACCATGTTGGCCAGAATGGTCTTGAACTCCTGACCTCGTGATCCGCCTGCCTCGGCCTCCCAAAGTGCTGGGATTCCAGGGGTGAGCACCATGCGGGCTGCGCTCTCTTCTTTCTTAAGGCTGAATGGTATTTTGTTGTGTGGACACACTGCCCTTTATCCACCAATGGGCAGTTAGGTTGTTTCCCAAGAATCTACTTTCTGTTTTTATGGATTTGCCTGTTGTGGACATTTTCTATACATGAACAGATTTATTTGTTTAAAACCTTTCTCTCTAAAAAATTTTATAATGTATCTGAGATATAATTAACATATACAATTCACCCATTTAAAATGGACATTCATTGTTATTAACATAATTACAGGCTTGTGCAAACTCCACCATGATCTAAATTTA